AAAAACAAAAAACAAAAAACAGCCAGTTGTGGGTGCATGCCTGTAGTCTCAGCTACCCAGGAGGCTGACGTGGGAGGATTGCTTGAGCCCAGGAGATAGAGGCTGCAGTGAGCCATAATCATGGTACTACACTCCAGCCTGGGTGACAGAGGTGACTCAAAATAATTTTTTTTAAATTATGAAATGCAAAATTCCTACAAAAATGTATATAAAACATTTATGTACAGCTTGATAAATTGTTGTAAGGCTAACAGCCATGTAACTTGGACTCGGTAAGAAACAGAATATTGCCTATAGACAAAAAGTAGTCCTAAAATATAGTAAAACTGTTAAGAACATTCGTTCAGGAATCAGATGACCTGTTTTTGAATCCTGACTCTACAACTTAGTAGACAACTTGAGTAAATCATCAATACTTTCCGAGCTTTAGTTTTCCTATGTGTAAAATGGGGAAAATAATAGTACATCATAAGGTTGTTGTAAAGACCAAAAAAATAAAAAATAAAAATATTCGGCCAGGGCCGGGCGTGGTGGCTCACGCCTGTAATCCCAGCACTTTGGGAAGCTGAGGTGAGTGGATCACTTGAGGTCAGGAGTTGGAGACCAGCCTGACCAACATGGAGAAACCCCAACTCTACTAAGCATACAAAATTAGCTGGGCGTGGTGGTGGGCACCTGTAATCCCAGCTACTTGGGAGGCTGAGGCAGAAGAATCGCTTGAACCTGGGAGGCAGAGGTTGCAGTGAGCTAAGATCACGCCATTGCACTCCAGCCTGGGCAACAGAGGGAGACTCTATCTCAAAAAACCCCCCAAAAATAGAAAAAAATTTAAAAAACCATAAAACTGCCAGGCATGGTGGCTCATCCCTGTAATCCCAGTGCTTTGAGAGGCCAAGGCATGGGTATCACCTGAGGTCAGGAGTTCGAGACCAGCCTGACCAACAAGGTGAAACCCCCGTCTCTACTAAAAATACAAAAATTAGCCAGTCGTGATGGCAGGTGCCTGTAGTCGCAGCTATTCGGGAGGCCGAGGTAGGAGAATCATTTGAGCCTGGGAGGCGGAGGTTACAGTGAGCCGATCACACCACTGCACTCCAGCCTGGGCTACAGATGAGACTCCGTTTCAAAACAAACAAACAGAAAACCAAAAAAACACTTAGCATAGTACTTATAACATGTTTTTCCCTGAGTAAATGGTGCTATTGTTATTCTTCCACCTGTTGCAGTTCCTGCTCAGGTGCTGAGTCTCTTTGTTTAAATGTGGATTCCTCCCAGGAGGATCTTGCTTAACACATAGGAATTGAGGAGATAAAGGTTTACTCATCCAGTGTAATCATCCTTTTAGAAATTGTCTTCCTAGGCCGGGCGCGGTGGCTCAAGCCTGTAATCCCAGCACTTTGGGAGGCCGAGACGGGCGGATCACGAGGTCAGGAGATCGAGACCATCCTGGCTAACACGGTGAAACCCTGTCTCTACTAAAAATATACAAAAAACTAGCCGGGCGAGGTGGCGGGCGCCTGTAGTCCCAGCTACTCGGGAGGCTGAGGCAGGAGAATGGCGTGAACCCGGGAGGCGGAGCTTGCAGTGAGCTGAGATCCGGCCACTGCACTCCAGCCCGGGCGACAGAGCGAGACTCCGTCTCAAAAAAAAAAAAAAAAAAAAAAAAAAAAAAAAAAAGAAATTGTCTTCCTAGTGGCTGCCCCATAAATTCTTCCATACACCTGTCCAAGGAAACTCTCCTGTGTGGACCAGGAGCCTCCCTCTTCATAATTGGGCAGAGAAACCAGAGGCCTTTCAGGCCAGGCCCTCAGCAACTCCAAACTGAGTTGCCTTGGACACATACCAGTGCTTGAATTCATTTACTAAGTAGGCAAGGCAGAGTGGAAACCGTGGAACTATTTTAATCTCCCGTCTTTCCCCCTCTAAACCCTAGTACTAGAATGTAAGCCTTGAAATGCTACTAAGGAATGTGCAGGTTTCACAATGGCAGGAGGCCATCTGAGAGGAGGACAAGATTCCACAGGTACGTTGGATTTGGGAAACAGGGCTATAGTCATTCATTCATTCATCCAACACATAGTTATGGAATTCCTATTTCAGGCAGATAGGATACAGCAATGGCTTGTTAAATTTATTGAGACTTGTTTCATGGCTCAGCATATAGACTGTCTTGGTGAATGTTCCACATTCCCACCAACAGACTTATAAAGATAGTATTGTTTATTATCATCTCAAATTTACAGTGGAAAAAAATGAGGCTTATGTAGTTTAATTTCCTTTAGTCCTACCCAGCTACCAGGTAGCAACACTGGAATTTCAAATGAAATTTCTGACACCATAATCTGAGCTCTTAAGTTTCTCTTTTACACATAAAAAAGGAGAAAAAAAATTGTTTTTTCATCTTATCATCCATTTGACTGCAGGTAAAGTCAACAAGCTTCTAATCATGGGGTTCTTCTGAGAATAATATTTACATTGCTCTGAGTCATGGGGATTTTCATTAAGTAATATCCAATAGTGGATACTACTCAATACTAATGTGAGTTGCCAAGAAGGAATATTTGGTAAAAATATAGTAGTTCAATTTTGCTATAATTTATGATTATGTAAATTTTAGATTAAATCGAGCATGGCATCATTTAACATCCAACAAATTTTGTTTTGGTATTGAAGAATGATGTGTTTAAGTTTTAAGGCTGGATTTTTCTTTCTAGACACTTTCAACTACCAAATATATACAATATTGGGCAATAGGTAACTGTTCTCTTGATGCTGTGTTGTTTAGAAAATTAATCTCAAGCGAATAAAATAGAATTCATATATTTCAACTTAATGAATCCTATTATTCCATATGGATGAACTCAGAACTAACTAGAAAGTAAGTTTCACAGAGATTTTTGAGTTTTGTTCACTCACGTGTACAGAGCACTCAGAAAATAGTTGAAGGAATGAATTGGGAAAGCAAATAAAATATGAAAGCTAACCTTCTACCCAACACAACATGTCTTTGAGTTTAGGTTTAGGGTGGGAATAAGCAAAATAACATGATATGCATAAATTATTATCTTAAAATGATAAAAAGTTTAATTTAAAAACCTAATTTACCAAGAGAACTGAAAACATACATCCACAAAAAAACTTGTACACAAATATTCATAGTAACATTATTCATAGCATCCCCAAAGGAAAAACAACCCAAATGTTCATCAACAGATGAATGATTCAACAAAATGTGATACATCGATACAACGGAATATTATTCAGTTATAAAATGGAACGAAGTACTGATACACACTACAACATGGATGAACCTTTAAAACATTATGCTAAGTGAAAGAAGACAGACACAAAGGGCACATATTGTATTATCCATTCATATAAAATGTCCAGAACAGGCAAATTAATAGAGACAGAAAGTACATTAGTGGTTGCCGAGGGATGAGGGGAGAGGGGAAATGGAGAGTGACTATTAATGGGCATGGGGTTTCTTTTGGGGGTGATTAAAATGGAATTAGATGGTGGTGATGGTTGTACAATCTGGTGAGTATACTAAAACCCACTGAATTGTACGTGCCCTTTAAAAGGGTGAATTTTATGGTATGTGAACTCTTTTATAAAGTGGAAAAAAACTCCTAAGATCTCCTCTTCAGAACATATCAAAATACATTATAAAATAATGGACATGTGTTTACAAATCTGAGAGTATTAGGAAATGTTCCCTTGTTTAATTATAAACCAAGTGGAATGTTTGGAGATTTCAGTAATCTGACAGGGAACATTAAGAGGATTAACCTGACTTCCCCAGTGTTAACAATACCAATTTAAACTGCATCATTCAAAAACTACATAGTCATATTAAAGCATTTGTAGCAATGACTTCCACGAAAAAAATACCAATTAAATTAATTACTCATTAAAGCTGTCATCATCTGAAATACCTCATATTTACATGGTGCTTTTACTTCCTTAAGTATGAATTGTGCCTTAAGATCTAATGTATGGAGAGTCACATCTCCAACCATTTAATTAAAGGTAGAGAAGTGGGTGGGATTGGATAGAAATTTATTAGCAATGCTGACATTCCAGATTGGAACGCAAAGACAAGTAGGATTTAAGAAACCTAACAGTTCGCTTTCAATGCAGGTAGTTAAATGCCAAGAACTATAATTACCTCATCCTGGAGTACAATTTAAAAATATGTTCAAAAACAACAAACATACATAAAAACATACACAGTGTTAAGTGCAGACTATGAAATTTCCTTTGGAACCATAATCCAGATCAAGAAATAGAATACAGCACCCAGGACTAAGGTGCTTTTTCGTTTTCTTAAAAAAATAAACAAATAAACCAGGTTTATTTTGCTTTTTAAGTAGGGTTCTTAAAGCACTACAGGTTGATAAACAAAGTATAAGGTGCTTTTTCTTAGGCCAAAGAGCCATAATAGTTTAAATCTCCCCGTCCCCAAGAGCGGACCAGTTACATTTTGGAACGGATGGGCAGGGGAGGACCCTGAGGTGGTGATGTGTAAACTGTGTATTATGCACTTTAGCTTGCTGGACGGCAACTAACAGCTACAGTAGTTTACCCTCATTTTATCCCCAATAAGTAATTGTCTTATATCTGAATCTAGAAATTCAGAAATAGCGCCAATATTTACACACGAGTTTTGAAATTTTCCCAGGAGTCTTTCGTGGGAGCAACACATCTTTATGCCTTTTTCCAGCAACAGTTCAATCAAATTTTGGAAGCAGAAAAGTGTCCCGTGAGGACGTGCCTTTCCTATCAAAGTGCTTAGTGCCTAGACCCTTTCCGGAGGAAACAGTCCCCTCCGGACCTCGTTCGACCTCTCTCCGTCAGACACCCAAAGTTCCATGTGAAGCAGGCGGAGCACCAAACGCACCCCTAGGTGGTCCGGGACGCCCATCCGTGTTGCCCCCTGGGAGCCCGCGCTGCTCCTCTGCGCTCCGCCCCTCGGGCCGGAACCTCGCGCGGTTCCTTTAACAGCGCGCTGGCAGGGTGTGGGCAGCAGGGCTGCGTCCTCCCGCCCCCTCCCATCCGAGTTTCAGGTGAATGGGTCACCGAGGGAGGAGGCCAACACACCACACCTACACTCCCGCGCCCACCTCTCCCTCCCTGCTTCCTCCGGCGGAGGCGGCAAGAACCGAGAGCTAGGGCCAGAGCGCCAAGGAGCTCGTCCGGGACGCAGCAGGTGGGTCTCTCGGGGCTGGCCCGCAGGCTTCCCGCACCCCCTCCACGTTGGTGCGCATGCCCGGGGGCAGGGCCGGTTGTAGGGAGAAGGGGGAGGAGGGGAAGGAGAGAGAGGAGGGGGAGGAGACGTCCCCAGCCCAGTCCCTGGCTGCACGCTGGCGGTCGGCGCGGCGTCAGGTGCGCCCGCCAGGTGAGCGCGCTCACTGGCTCGGTTGGCCCCCGGAGGGTCGGGCCCAGGTGCGGCCAGTGGGTGAGTGTTGGGCGCGGCGTCAGGGGCGCACGGGAGCCCCCAGGGTCCCCGTGGGGGGACCGCGGCGCCTCTGTTAGGGGAGGTGCGAGGGGGAGGACGCTCCGCGCTGGTTTCGGTGGCAGTTTCGTCCCCGGGCTGGGACTCGTGGGAACCGGAGAGGCGCGGGTCTGCGGAGAGAGCAGCACCGGCCAACTTGGGAGGCTGCCTCCCCGGGCAAGGGGCGGCTTGGAGCCGCCGATCAAGCTTTATTCCGCGGAGACGCTTAAAGCTAGCAGTGCCTCAGCGGCGCGGGCAACTTTTCACTTTTATGAGGCAGGACATTCCTGAACAGCGACGATCCTGCATCAGCTCTGGGGCTGCAGTTTTGGGGGGCGGCCCTCATGGAGAGGGGTCCTGCGCCCAGCTCGTTGGGGGTCCTAAGCTTGAGGCTGCAGCGAGAGACTGCTTGCTGGTCCGAGCCGCTTAGATCCCGGGGGGAATTTCATCCCTTCCGCTCCCACCCCACCCCACTCCTTTGGGTATCCCGGGGAGACGGGGGCTGGATTCAGTCTGTGAAATATTCCGGGAGTCACGGTGTGGGCCACACTGGCTACTTCGAATCCACTTGTTGGGAGTTGTGTGAACCCGCGCCGATTTAAGCTGGGGTTCACGGAGTTAATTTCGAGGGAAGCTGCTCACGCTTGGGATTCTCACCCGTGACCAAAAGGGCTGCCGCCAGGGGGGCGGAACTGCCTCCGGGCGGTGCCTGCCCAGCGAAAGCGGGCGCGCGCTGTCCGGGAGCGCCTCGGGGCGCACGGACGCCGGGACCCGCGCCCAGCCGGGCCACGGAGTTTGGGGACCTCCGGGACTGGGCCGGCCCCGCACGCCAGCCATGTTGCCTGCGTGGAAGGAAGCTTGCGGGGAGCGGGGGTCAAGGGCCAAGATGGCCTCTGCGCCTAGGGTTGGGAGCGGCGCCGAGGTCCTCGTGCTCCTCGGGAAGCCACTGGGCCCGAGGGGAAAACCGCGGCATCCTCAGGCCGGACCCGGGGCTCGCTGGCTACACTGCCCGCTTGGGGAATTATCCCGGGCGAGGAGGCGGCAGCTTTCTAGGCCAGTTAGTGTGTGGCCCTTAGGCAACAGGTGTATTATTGGAATACCTGGAAAAGAGAAACGCTTCCCATGAAGGCACTTATGGTGATTTAGAAAACTAGGCATTCCCAAGTGTAACAATAGTTCTTTTGCACTGTACGTATGAGTCTTTCTTTTGTTTTTATTATTATTATTATTATTTGCTTTTTTGAGACGGAGTCCGACTGTGTCTCCCAGGCTGGATTGCAGTGGCGTGATCTGGGCTCACTGCAACCTCTGCCTCCCGGGTTCAAGTGATTCTCCTTCTCAGCCTCCCGAGTAGCTGGGATTGCAGGCACCCACTAGTATGCACGGCTAATTTTTGTATTTTTAGTAGAGACGGAGTTTTGCCATGTTGGTCAGGCTGATCTCGAACTGCTGGCCTCAGGTGATCCACCCGCCTCGGCCTCCCAAAGTGCTGGGATTACAGGCAGGAGCCACCACGCCCAGCCTTTATGAATATTTTCTTAGTGGTGCTTTTTGAGTGTGTGGGGGCGGCACAGATATTTCCTCAAACAAAGCAACACTTTTTTTTTTTTTTTTTTTTTTTGTCGTTTTGCAATTTATTTAGTTATTAGGGGCCTCCTTTGTTAGGTGATGGAGCGGAGGATAGGGAGGTCGTTAAGACATGATTCTCCACCTTTTGGCAGCTTCCAGGCCATTTCGGGAAATAATGGGCAGTGTCTCCTGCACGTGAGGCACTATGCTAAAAGCATTCTGTATTTTCTCATTTAATTATCCCAACAACTCTAAAAGGCAGACCTTAGTAGAACTCCGTTTTAAAAGCGGGCATATGCTGTGGGGGAAACGTGTTGCGTGGGCTTGCTTGCAAACTGCTTCAGCTAATCTGGGAAGGAATATCAGAAGCAGCGGTCCTTGATATTCCAGAACCAGATTTGGGGGATTTTTCTGGACCTTTGTACCATTGACTAGTACCTGTAGCCTGATACAAGATTTCCCGCATTTTGCTTGATGTCATGGTAAAATTCTTTTTTCTTCTAAAGGTAATGTTGGAATTACTGCCTTTCCAAAATAATAGATTACTTTTAACCACATAAATGATCTGATGTAATATCTTTCACCTTCCCAGGAGCGTCCCAGAAGGAAGTTTTCTTCAGTTGCATTTTAAGGCTTATTTGATTGGAATATCAGTGGATCTTTTTCATCAAATTACTATTTATAGAAATAAGAGAGTAAACAGACCATGTAGATTTCTGTTAGGCTTTTCATTTTAACCCCTAGGCTTGCCGCTGTTCCGTAACCCAGTGATTCCAGTCTTGGCTGTAGTATGAATCACCTAGGGATCTTGTTAAAACACAGATTCTGATTGGGAGGTCAGGAGTGGGACCTGGGATTCTGCCTTTCTAACAGGCTCACAGGTGATTCTCAGACTGTTCTGTCCTCTTTTTCTCCCTTTCTCTTAGACTCTACTCAATTACATTTGAACACTGAAGTTGGAAATAAAGGAAAAAAAAAATAGGTTTATTGGGTGTTGATTGGGTGTTGTGTGAAGAACTTCAAGGCATTCACTGCTGGATTGAAATCCCAACTCTAATAATTGACTTGGTTTTATTAATTGAGTACTCATTGACAATCACTTTGTGCCAGGGCTAGTTTCAGGGACCAGGGAATTTAAATAATGGTCAAAATAGACATTCGATGCCTGGGATGCGGGCATTCCAGATGGTGTGGAGATAATACCTAAAATAATTTTAGGTATGAGGGCAGAGGGGAGTTTGCTCTGAAAAAACAAGTTTTGTGTGATGGAGTGAGGGACTGGGAGGGCATCTCCCAGAAGGTGGCATCTGAGCTGAGATGTGAACAGCAGGTGTCTGCTGTGTAAAAGATCTGGGCTTTCTAGACAGGAAATTGTAAGATCAATGTCCTTTTTGGATTGACACAATTATTGTAAACAGCAATTCTCAAAATATGTGGTGTGTTAAAAAATCACTTGGAAGGTTTATTAAAAATACAGTTTCTGACACAGTCTATTACAAAATCTGCCTAACTTCAAATTTTTAGATAATTTAATGATGTGCCTATAATCTAAATCATTTAATATAAGGCACAACTTAAACTTTTTAAAGACCAATTGACAGTTACTGCATGTGCCCTAAAAGGAACAGACTTCTCTTAAATATGTTTATTTTTCACTTATTGAGAGTTTTCTTTCAAGAATAATTTGAGGGCAAAGCATTTTCAGTCTATTTTTTTCTACTCTTTTTTTTTTTTTTTTTTTTTTAAAGATGGAGACGGAGTCTCTGTTGTCCAGCCTGATCTTGAAGTTCTGGGCTCAAACAATCCCTCTGCCTTGGCTTCCCAAAGTACTGGGATTACAAGTGTGAGCCACCTCACCCAGCCTCAGCCTGTTTTTTTCATCTTAGCTTAGTTTTCCATTAAGACAGCTTTTGGTCAGTAAACACTGTCAAGGGGAGAACGCTTTTTATATATTATCATTAGCTCAAGATGCTGGTTTTCAGATTAACATATTTGACAAGGATCTGCTGCTTCCCTTTTGCCCCTGACTCTCATTTAGCTATCTGACTTCTGTCCTTGTCACTCTTGACATAAGTTCATGTAGTTGATAAGTGGTCTCTTCATTCCTCATTTTATTTTTTCCTTCACTCAACACATGTACAGATTGTTAATGTTGCTGTGCTGGGCATTGGTCCTCTTTGACCTTTGGCTGCTGGCCTTAAAGCACAGTCACAGATTCACTTCGAAATTTCAGAGACCTTAGAAGTCCTCCAGTCTGGTCTCCAAAATAATATCAAATAACTTAAGCTTTGCATAAATTGCATGAGCTCAAATTGTTGTTCGTTATTTTTGGAGGGGGTGTGGGGTCAGGGTGAGGGAGAGGCTTCCTAATATGGTGGTTTTTGGATTTTTTTTTTTTTTTTTAACCATTTCTAGGATAACAAAGACAGCTCTTCAGATACCTCAGGGCTACTAAAGTGATTCTTCTAATGTTCAATTCTCCAGGCCAGACATTTCCTGTTTTTCTAATTGTTTGTCTTAAGACATGGTTTTTCTAGATTTGTTTTTTTTTGGGGGGGCCAGAGTCTCACTCTGGCTCTCACTCCAGGCTGGAGTCCAGCGGCGCAATCTCGGCTCACTGCAACCTCTGCCTCCTGGGTTCAAGCGATTCTCCTGCCTCAGCCTCCCAAGTAGCTGGGATTATAAGCCCAACTAATTTTAATATTTTTAGACGAGGTTTCACCATGTTGGCCAAGATGGTCTCGATCTCCTGACCTTGTGATCCACCTGCCTTGGCCTCCCAAAGTGCTGGGATTACAGGCGTGAGCCACTGTGCCTGGCCAGCTTTTCTAGATCTTTAACGATCTTAGTCACCCTCCTGGAGAGGCACGTAGTTTAGAACGTGATGTACAAATCAGGTTTTGTTTGTTTTTTTTAATAGCGTATTATTCCTAGATATGAGCACTATTTCTGTGAATAAAGTTTGGGATCGCTTGTTAGCTTTTGTTGAAATTCTTACCAGAGAAATGCACCTTTAAAAATGAACAATTATTAAGTTAGTTCTCCTCTATACTGTACTATGGAATTGACTTTTAAAAAATTCAGTTTACTGCTGGGCGTGGTGGCTCATGCCTGTAATCCCAGCACTTTGGGAGGCCGAGGCGGGT